GGTGCGCCAGCACCAGGGTTGGTGCTGGTCAAGATCTGCCTATACTTCTCTGTGGTCATCCCAAAAACCGGTCCTCGACAGGGGTTCTGGCCAGTATAGACAGGTGCAACATGGTCAGAGTGCATTTGCTTGCACACAAATAAGACATATCTCTAAAACAGATGTGCACATAACGCTCAAGTCCTGGAACACACCCAAAGGCCAAAAGTGAATGAGCAACCAGGAATTACTGCTGCCAATTTACAGCCAGTGAATGAAAAGAAGAAGGGGCAGAAGAAGAATATATTTGTTGTCACTGTCATCAGAAGTGATCCTGGTTTTATAGACATCCTCCACTGTTCTGACCCCACTGTTTAACTATTTTTCTAAATTTGTCCTTATTGGTGATTGAAAATGAATGCTTTTTCTGCCGCAGGTTCTACGAATCAGCCTGCATTATGATGTCAATACAGACGGATTCAGGTTTCTAAATGGTCTGTGTATTTCACAAGAACAACTGCAAACGGAAGACTTTGGACCTGTGTCGCACATCATTGCTTTTGCCAGTTCACTGAAGCAGATGAACTGTGATGAGACGGAGTATGCCTTGCTGTGTTCCATTTGTCTCATCAGTGGAGGTGAGCAGACATTTTATTCATATTAAAGTCGAGAGGATTGACTCCATTGCTTCAGGTTTCAACTCATAAGGCTTGGTCTCTCCACAAAATGGCTAGTCGCCTACAGAAAGTGTCACACGAAGCATGAACTCCATAGCTCTAGGGATCTCCATAAAAATTGCACTTGTGAATTGAAGGTCGCTGCCATGAAATGAGCACACAACCTTCAGAGCGCGAGACAAATGCCTTGACAATGTTGCCATGGAGACCCCTCCTCCAGTTTTACTAACTGAAGTTTAACTGCTTTGTGGAATCTTGTGTGGTTGCTTTCTCTTTAAACTAGGGGAATGTTGACTGGAATTTCATAATTCTTTGCATGTGATCTTCAAGATTAGAACAGGGCTATTCAAATAAGTTTACTCAGGGGCCAACATTTTTTTTAATAAGGATCGTCATGAACCAGTGGTCTGAGTCCCAGCATTTACAAATCATTAAAGCAATGCAACTGGCAGTGATATGTGAGCCAGTTGCTAGGTCTTTGTTGGCCAGATTGGCTTATAGACTGCCATTTGCTAGGTCTTTGTTGGCCAGACTGGGCCTACAGGCTGCCAGTTGCTAGGTCTTTGTTGGCCAGATTGGCCTGTACAGGCTTTGTTGGCTACCAGTTTGCTAGGTTTTTGTTGGCCAGATTGGCCTACAGGCCACCAGTTAAAAAGCCCTGGGATAAGATATTATGTCTGGAGCCATGGAATAGTACTAGTTTTTACAAAAATTTTGTCCTGTTCAACCTTTTGGGTTATAATTGGGATATAGTGTTTTCAATATAGATTTACGCTATTGTAAATATTGTAGAATCATATATTTCGCCATTTTTATAATTTAAAATGTTAGTATTTAAATGTTATCATGTTCAGACCTTCTGGATTAGAATTAGGACATTGGTGTATAATGATTATTTTGATAATATTCACTACCCTATGCACTGAAATAGATTTATTGTTCAACTTATGTCTTACATATAGTTGTTATATGCTATTAAAATCCACAGTTAATTTGGCTTTTGAAATAAGTAACTACAATGATTACATAGACATTTCTTTACCCTTCCATTTATGAATTTTAGTTCTAGTTAAAAACTGCTTGATCTTTGCGGCAAATCTCTGGAGCTTTCTTTTCAAATCAAATACTCCACTATCATAGGTTGATCACAGTGAATGCTACCAAGGATCTTAATCACTGGAAAAAGCAAAGATTCAGGGGCCAGGACAACAGCTCACATAAGCCAGCTTCAGGCCTCAGAAAAGAGATATGTGAAAAAGGTAGTCCAAGTCACAAGAAGGGACAAAGTCCACAATCAGACCATACGTCAGAATCTTAAAACTCAGGCCTAACAACCTTGAGTGGATCAATCACAGTTATGATGGTTTAGATATGTATGCAGAATGGGAGAGAAGTGGCCAGGAACCAGGCAACCAGTCCACCAGGGGGACCCAAGGAAAAACAACAATCCAACAGCCCTTGACTGACAGAGGGCCGGAAAGAAACAATGCCAAAAAGAAAACTGCAAATAGAGCAGTCTGCCAATCTCTCCGGCAAAACTCTACACTTCAAGGTAGAAGGTCGACTAAGTAAGTAAGTTAAATCAGAGATTCATAATCAGAGACAAAATACAACCTGTCACTTTCTCTATTGCTTTCTTACATTTAATTAAACAAAAAATGTGTAGCAAGTGTTACCATTTTCAGTGTTCAGTATGTGTTCACTCTCATTTATGTCTGCAGATCGTGCTGGGTTGATTGAAGTAGAAACAGTAGAAAAAATGCAGGAATCTTTGGTCGAAGCATTAAAACACTATGTGAGATCTCGCAGACCAGACCAGAAACAAATGTTTGCCAAGATTTTAATGACACTCACAGATTTGCGAAACCTAACTGCCAAATGTAAGTATTTCTAATGAATTTAAGATTCTATATGCTAATAATATTTCATTGTATTTGAAACTTCAGATTTAGTCTTTTCAGGTACTTTTTGTGAGCATTTATTTCTTATTCTCCATAAGTTTTTTTCTTTATGATGCTGTATTACATATTAGTCAAGTGGTTAGTTGACTGAGTGGTTAGCTAGTTGGTTGGTTGACTGAGTGGTTAGCTAGGTGGTTGGTTGACTGAGTAGTTAGATAGGTGGTTGGTTGACTGACTGGTTAGCTAGGTGGTTGGTTGACTGAGTGGTTAGCTAGGTGGTTGGTTGACTGAGTGGTTAGCTAGGTGGTTGGTTGACTGAGTGGTTAGCTAGGTAGTTGGTTGACTGAGTGGTTAGCTAGGTGGTTGGTTGACTGAGTGGTTAGCTAGGTGGTTGGTTGACTGAGTGGTTAGCTAGGTGGTTGGTTGACTGAGTGGTTAGCTAGGTGGTTGGTTGACTGGTTAGCTAGGTGGTTGGTTGACTGAGTGGTTAGCTAGGTGGTTGGTTGACTGACTGGTTAGCTAGGTGGTTGGTTGACTGAGTGGTTAGCTAGGTGGTTGGTTGACTGACTGGTTAGCTAGTTGGTTGGTTGACTGAGTGGTTAGCTAGGTGGTTGGTTGACTGAGTGGTTAGCTAGGTGGTTGGTTGACTGAGTGGTTAGCTAGGTGGTTGGTTGACTGAGTGGTTAGCTAGGTGGTTGGTTGACTGAGTGGTTAGCTAGGTGGTTGGTTGACTGAGTAGTTAGATAGGTGTTTGGTTGACTGACAGGTAAGCTAGGTGGTTGGTTGACTGACTGGTTAGCTAGGTGGTTGGTTGACTGAGTGGTTAGCTAGGTGGTTGGTTGACTGAGTAGTTAGCTAGGTGGTTGGTTGACTGAGTGGTTAGCTAGGTGGTTGGTTGACTGAGTAGTTAGATAGGTGTTTGGTTGACTGACAGGTAAGCTAGGTGGTTGGTTGACTGACTGGTTAGCTAGGTGGTTGGTTGACTGACTGGTTAGCTAGGTGGTTGGTTGACTGAGTGGTTAGCTAGGTGGTTGGTTGACTGGTTAGCTAGGTGGTTGGTTGACTGAGTGGTTAGCTAGGTGGTTGGTTGACTGACTGGTAGGCTAGGTGGTTGGTTGACTGACTGGTTAGCTAGGTGGTTGGTTGACTGAGTGGTTAGCTCAGGCATTTGTGTCAATTCCTATTCCATAAAAGGTCAAAAAAAAAAAAAAAAAAAGTATTACTGTTCATGTAGCTATGCATTTTATTAGCGCCAATGTTATTTTTGAAAGAGAGATCTATTCCCTGTGTGGATTCTGGAGCTCCAATTTGGGGGAAGGGAAGAATAGATCAGCTGCTCCCTCTTCCTAAAAAGCATGTTGTAAAAATGGACTAACTGGGGGGCTTCCATCAAAGTTGCAGTGCGTCTGCTTGAGGGGAAAGGAACCAGCAATCTGCTTACAAATAAGTGAGATCTGATGAGCATGCACAGTTCTGGTTCTGGAACAAGACTAAAGTCTTCTAGAGTGGACATACAACCAGAACATTCAGTCGGAGTTAACAGTAAGTAAAGAAGAAGAAGAAGACAAAGAAGAAGAAGCCTTCCCCCGTGTGGGTTCCGGGGCCCTATTGTGGGAAAAACAAGAATAGACCCACTGCCTCCCCAAAAGCATGTCGTAAGAGTCGACTAACTGGGGAGCTTCCTTTGAAGTCTGAGTGCATCTGCCTGAGAGGCAAGGAACCAGCAGTCTGCATTCAATTGAATCAGATCTGTAAAACTGATGCACACGCAACACTCAGGTTCTGGAGCAGGACTGCAGTCCAGAAGTGGACGAACAACCAGAACTTTACACCAGAGTGTACAGCTGGTGAACGCAAAGAAGAAGAAGAAGAAAGAAGAAGAAGAAGAAGAAGAAGAAATAAGTCTTGATATTCAAACAACGATTTAATACTTAGGTGTCTCTTTGGCATAGTGCCAATGATATAAAAGTAACCTTAGTCACATGATGACAGTCTTCATTGCCAAAATCTGAAACAGGTGTTTCACAACAGTATGAAAAGTATCTTTTTATATAGCAGTGCTTTTAATTTTGGTTTCTTGTGGTTGTTTTTATTTTAATTTATTTTACTTTATCTGTCGACAGGTGAGAAACTGATGCCAGCACATGCCCTTGACTGTATAGAAGATTTACTGTTTTCCCAGTCACCAGCGCAAGCTTCAGCTAGCCATGGCAGAATGACACCTCATCTGTCCATACTGCAGCAATCCATTCTTCAGCAGTCTTCTCCACGCCCCTCCACACCTCCACAATCGATGCCTCGGTTGACCAGGCCTTACCGATCCACATCTCATCTATCCATATCCAAGCAGCCCATGCCTCGATTGTCCATGCCTCACATGTCCATGCCTCAACAGTCCATGTCCCAACCGTCCTTGAATCAACAATCTATGGCTCAAGTGTCCATGTCTCAACAGTCCATGGCTCAAAAGTCTTTGACTCAACAGTCTATGACTCAACAGACCATAAATCAACTGTCCATGTCTCAACAGTCCATGGCTCAACAGTCCCTAACTCAACAGTCCATGACTCAACAGTCCATGAATCAACCGTCCATGTCTCAACAATCCATAACTCAACAGTCCATGGCTCAAAAGTTCATGAATCAACAGTCCATGGCTCAACAGTCCGTGACTCAACAGTCCGTGACTCAACAGTCCATGGCTCAACATTCCATGACTCAACAGTCTATGGCTCAACAGCTCATGTCTCAACAGTCCATGTCCCAGCAGTCTTTACTTCAGCTGTCTATGCCAAATGGAGGGCATTCAAAGGCATCAGCTCCATCCAGTTTCGAACACTACCATGCAACCATGTCATCTGGATCTAGTCTGAAATCATCAACCATGTCAAATCCGTTCACCTCCTACAGTAATGGCAGTGGTGTATCCAATGGCAGCAGTGATATCAGCAGCAGCTCTCATGCACTACAGACTGGAGCTCACCCTGCAGCAGAAGAGAGAAACTTCCAAACAGGCATGTTGGGACCAGATCTGGAGGCAGTTGTTCCCTGTGATTTTACATCCAACACCCTGTCGCAAGGTTCACACATCAACACAATGGATTTGACTTCACTAAGTGCCTATGGCAGTGGAAGAATAACTAAGCAAAATTCTGATCTTTTAATTATGTGGGAAAACAAGCAGCAGCAGCAGCAGCAGCAGCAACAGGATTTGTTGTTACAAACTTCCAGAAACAACATGTCTGCTTCTGAAAATTTGGAAGTTATTGTGAAATCAACAAACCCGTCTTTCACTGATCTGATTGGTACAATTTGCTCCTTCAATAGAAGTCCACATTCTGAGGCACACAGCACTGGACCTTTGTCGTCACCGAGTTTTCTTACTGGAGTGAACAGCAGTCACTATCCATCTTCTTCACCTGATCTTGGTGATGGATATGGTGTGGGGATGATGTATCAGACTTCACAAGGAATGTCATCCGGAATGGAGCTGTCTTACAATCCACCATTGACCATGTCATCTTCCTACCTTCACAGCTGAACAACTTCTTTACGCTGTGCATTCATCAAATAGCCAACCTTTGACCCAGACAGGACTTTTGTCACAAGCTAGCGAGGAATTCCTTCAGGGACTTTCCTCATCTTTGCAATCTTCGTCTACGACCATTGTTCCAAACTTTTTGTCCGTGAACTTATCAGAAAGGGGTAATCCAGAAATACTTCCTGGCCATCAGCAGGTTTCTAATGACTGTGGTCTGAATAGAATCAATGCGGATCTGCTTCCTAATTACACTCTTATTGGCAGCATGAATAATCAGCTTAAGGATAACAATGGCACATCAACACCAGTCTGGGCATCAGAGACGGGTGGTAATCTTATGTTGAGATCAAGCATGATGTCCCTTGCTCATACTGGTTCTCATGACATAGGTGGCACTGCAGGCTCTTCGTCTAGGTCTCTGATTGATTCCACAACTAATAGTGTAATTAATGTTAGAGTTTCCTCATCAAAACAAGAAATTGTTGATGACACAGAACCCAGGACTTCATCGTTATCATCTATGTCTATCAGTCAGCTTATAGGAGGAGCTATGAAAATTGAACCGGATGATTGGTCACATTATTCAGATAATTAATTTAAAACTTTCCTGTAATATTTTACCTGAAAGGTATGATTGCTGCAAATTTTCAACATTATAGTGCATTGGTCAGACCCAGTCTTGCACTGCATCGGTCTGACCCATTTGTGCTGTGCATCAATCTGACCCATTTGTGCTTCTCATCGGTCCAACCCATTCATGCTCTGCATTGATCTGACCCATTTGTGCTTCTCATCGGTCCAACCCATTCATGCTCTGCATTGATCTGACCCATTTGTGCTTCTCATCGGTCCAACCCATTCATGCTCTGCATTGATCTGACCCATTTGTGCTTCTCATCGGTCCAACCCATTCATGCTCTGCATCAGTCTGACCCATTTGTGCTTCTAATCGGTCCAACCCATTCATGCTCTGCAACGATCTGACTCATTTGTGCTCCTCATCGATCCAACCCATTCATGCTCTGCAACGATCTGACTCATTTGTGCTCCTCATCGATCCAACCCATTCATGCTCTGCATCAGTCTGACCCATTTGTGCTTCTCATCGGTCCAATCCATTGATGCTCTGCATCGATCTGACTCGTTTGTGCTCCTCATTGGTCCAACCCATTTGTGCTTCTCATTGGTCTAACCCATTTGGGCTTCTCATTGGTCTGACCCATTTGTGCTGCTTTCTCCAGTGCAGCAGTCATCTCAGTGTCTCTATGCTCACGGTACCCACTATGAGTTATTTTCTCTCTTTGCCCTGCAATGACTTTTTACAGAAGCCATGTAAGCCTCTACTTTGGACTGAGATGAAAGATATTAGAAATTTTTATTAGCAATTACACAAAAAGCTTTTTGTGAAAGCAACAAGTAAAAGTGCCACTTGTGCTTAATATTAATACCACTGTAGGCAAGAGTGATAAATGTATGAGCTAAAGCTATTTCTTTGAGGCAGAGAAACTTTTCAGTCTTCAAGCATGTTTAAATCTCCTATAAAATTTATATTCTGCAAAGAAGTTGTGTGATTCGATGTGCTTAATTCATTTGGGAACAGAGATTAACTGTACTATGACCTCTGAGGTCGCATATCATTAATAAAGCATAATGTTTATTTGTATTAATTAACCTTTACAAAGATTACAGTGATTATATATTTAAAATATGTTGAATGGCCACTTTTGCTTTCATTGTTACATTGTGACTTAAGCATATTCTCACGGGTAAATTTTATACATGTACATAGAATTACATTTTAATTGTAATCAGATTAAATCCGGTAATATTGTTTTCTATTTCATTAAATAATTTTGGTGTTGTAGTAAGTTCATATAATCATGTTTAATCATTAAAGACCATCATTCGCTGTTGAGTTTCTAATGTATGGCTTATAAAAAGCTTATTTTTAACAAGTAGTCAGTCTTTGTTAGGCTTTTAAACATAAATCATTGAATATTGCATTTTTTTAAATTCAAGTTTTATTTGTATAATTTGTATCTATTCTGTGATTATTGTTTCCTCCAGTTTTCTTCTCTGTCTTTTTCCCCTCCATTTTCCATCTTCTCAAGTCTGTAAGGTTTGTTTAAATCATTTGTTCCTCTTTTCTGCCAGTCTTCTTGCAGCTTTCTGTGCTAATTTTCACATCTCTGTCATTAAATTGTTGTTTCTCATATTTCTTACATGCCATGACAAACTGAGTTGTGTGCTTGTTACTTGTTGTCCTTAAGCTGTTAAATGCTTTAAAAGACAAATTCAGATAACAGATGAACTTAAAAACTACCATGCCACCAGAAATAGCTGTGACTACAGCTTGGATAGGGCTGCTTTGCTATTCAGGAAGAGACCTGTAATCTATGCCAGAAACACAGTAATAAAAAGCTCCATTTGCTGGAGTGTCAGAAATATGAAACCAAAGAAAACCTCAACTGACTGTTTGAATCTCTGTAACATAAAGGTGAGAGAACTGACTTCGTTGCACTGAGTTTGATCCCATATGGTTCAGTCTCTCTCCACAGAACAGCTAGCTGCCTGCTGAGAGCGTCACGCAGAGCTATCGATGGTGAACTCAGGTATTTGGCCCATGACCCTCCACATTTGTTACTGTTTTGACCCCTGAGTAAACTTGGTTGAGTAGCCCGTGTGTAGGCTGTCGTGTTTCCCAATCTCACACGATCACCAGAATCACGGATCAGTTCAGTGTTTTTGTCTCGCCCCATAGCTTAGAATATGCACCCCAAAATCTATGGAACTGTATTTTACCTCTAATTACATGTTGTTGTAATTACAACTAGAGACCTTCAATGAAATCTGCTGTCCTTTGTTTTTAATATCTGCATATCTTCAGATCAGTTCTCAAGCTGCATTTAGTTCACTGTGATTTTGTCTTATAGTCAATGCCAATGTCGAAGCATAATTTAATTTTTTTTTTTAATTAATGATGATCCTGTAAGGCCTAAATATTTGCAGGATTCTCCTTAAAAATTTATTTTGAAAACTCTCTAGTTTATGAGTAAATTCTTCGGTCATTTTTTAACACTCACTTATGTGTCAACAATGACATACACGGATTTTGAGATCAATGGAAACCAGTGCGCACAGGTATTATTTATCTGGTAATTTACAATTATAATAGCGTAACTCTCTATTTGCCTGTTGTGTAGTAGTAGAGCTTATTTAGAGTATATTTGTTTAAATTCAGAGTATATTTTTTATTTAGAGTACACAAATTTTTTTAAGGATTACTGGTAATTTCTGGGAATTATCTATGATAGAAAAGTGGCCAGGACTGGAACAAATGGGATGCATATAGCCCTTGGGGGATCCATAGTTTAACATGGCTGCTACAGACTAAAGTTAACAGGCAATAGCTGTTAAATTTGGTTTCATCAGAATGTTTGAAGAATAGTTTTTCTTAGGAGTTTCAAAATTAGGAGATATTAATTACTGTAGTCGATATAATGGTGTAAAATATGAAGTTGTGGGTGTTGATACTTATTTTTATACACAAATGTGTCTTCGTTTTAACTTGCTGCCTTGTTGACATTTTTTTAGTGACAGATATAATGTAAGCTGTTTTTTCTTTTGTTGAACTTTCAGTGAATTATCCATCAGTGCTTTTACCAACTCAGGGAGATTTATACATAGTTTTTGTGTAAATTATTGAATGCTGTATATTGTAAATGATATGTAAACACATGTTTAATTCAGACATAAAACCTCTATATGACAAATCTAATTAAAATGGCAAATTTGCAATGGCTCAAAATGAATGTCATCATTTAATGCCTTTATGCTTCTGGTCAAGATGGTGAGGCAAGGGGATCTTTATTTTTTTGCTAGCATCTAACCGGGGTCAGGTTTGATTATCCTAGAGTGAAAGTTGTGTTCAACTAGTCTGAATGTGATAGTCTAGTTCAAGTGTGACCTTCTAGGAAGTTTGAAAACACTGGCTGGTCTAGCAAACCGACAGTGGTTTATTTAACGCTTGTAGAAAATGAAGAGACCTCATGAACTGACCAGCATGTAAGGGATAGTGAAACCCTAATGCCCCAAGACGTTCGAGAAGTAGAGAAAAGAAGAAAATGCCATAACAAAATAAATATCAGAGATTATATTTGCATCTTTGTTAATGTAAGAGGTATCCTGCAGTTCACACCTAACATGTGTTTCATTAGCAGCAGTCATCTATCATCTGCAACAGCAGAGTGTGTCTTTGTAAAGCTTCTGATTTTGCCTAATTTTAAGGTAGCTCTCAAATTCGGTGTGTTGGAAATCTCATCCAGCAAATGTGTAGTAATGAAGTATACTGTATTTATTTCAAAGGTTTATGTTGTATTTCATGTGATGTTGATTTTTATTTATCCTTATTGTTAGTTCTTCTTCTTATTATTATTATTTTTCTTCTACTTCTTCTTCTTCTTCTCAGTGCTCAACGGCTGTAAACTTCAGGAAAAGTTCTGGTTGCTCATTCACTTCTAGACTTTGTGCTTGTTCCAGGATTTGAGTTTGCATCCACATCCATTTTACAGATTTGGTTTATTTCTATGCAAACTGTAGGTTCCTCACCTCTCAGATGTGGCATTCATCACCTGCATATTTACCCTCCCCTGTTGTTTGAAGTTTGAGTCATTTGCTTCCTTGTCCTAAAAGTTTAACTTTTTTTTTCTGCTCTAACCAATCAGGATGAGACTTCCAGAAACAGAACATTCCCTAATGTTATTGACAGCAGCAATTAATGTCCCTTCAAAAAAAATGAATCACTGCAGACATGAGATTTGTCATCATCATCATTCAGTGTCTTATTGGTTGACATAGGAAAGCATCTTTCATTAGATGTCACAGTTGCCACCAGAATGTAAAGATTTGTTTTATTCTTTGTTCATTTCTTCCACTTATTTTTTAAAATCTTTTTCTTCTTCTTTCATTTGTCATTGAATAACATTAGTCTACGCCATAATGAAAGTAAATGAGGACCTTCTGTCACTGTGTTTCTCTGACCTGTTTTCCATGTATTTTTTCATACCCTAAAAAGATTTGGCAGGGAGTGCCAAAGTGGCAAATAATTGCTTTAAAAATCCATAGCAGATTTCTTTCCTAGGGAATAAACGTGCAGTGTAAGTGGCCAATGTGATGCCAGATTGATAATATGCAATGGTTGTATGAAAAATGTGAGAGAACATATGCCATGGCTGGAAGTTAAAGGGAAGAGCCAGTGACACAGCATGCAATGTTTAGGATAGATACAGTGAATCTCTCTAGTTGTGATAGTTTGTTGTGTTAGTTTTGTGATAAGCTGTCGTTATGCTTTATTCTCTTTAAATTATTTAAGTTATTTATGTTGGCAATGCAGCACACTTGTGCAAAACCATATGCATGGTTTCAGTGACTTTTGATGTTGCTTGTTTACTGACTGTCCAGGATTTCTGCCACATGTCAACATTGGTAACTTCCCAGAATTATTTTTCTAATTGTATGAACTTTTTTCTACCTTGTCTTAATTCTGCTCTTTATGTAAAACATCTCCCTCTTGATGTTATCTACGTACCTGAATTTCTGTATCTTGTCCAGTTAATATCATTGACTTTAATTCAGCATTTTGGCTTTCTCTGATTTGTTTCTAACTCTATTCCTCCAGCCTGTTCCTTTTTCTTCTTCTTCTTTGTGTTCATCAGCTGTAAACTCTGGCGGACAGTTCTGGGTGTTCGTCCACTTCTGGACCTCAGTCCTGTTTCAGAACCTGAGTGTTGCATGTACATCCGTTATACATTTCTGACTCACTTTCGTTCATAATATTGTTTCCTTGCCTCTCAGGCAGATGCATTCTGACTTTTAAGGAAACTTCCGATTTATTGACTCTTACGACATGTTTTTTTGGGGAGGCAGTGGGTGTATATTTTTATTTTCACCACAATGGGACCCCAGAACCCCACACAGGGATCTGTCTTTTTTTTTTTTAAAACATTATCCCTTATTTTAGTTTTCTAGTATTTAAATCATGTTGACACATCCAATACATTGCATAATTGATTAACCAGCATAATATCCGGGGTATAATTATTGAATTACATCAAAATATAATGAAGCACAAAAATGAATGCAGTAGTAGTAGTTTAAACAACAATATGCTGTTCTAACCTATTTGAGTTATAATTGAGATAAAAAGCTTTATTCTACTTCATTAATGGATATTTATGCGTATCAATATTTTTAGCTGTTTAATATTCTATAGCTTACTAGATTTAATTGCCTGGCTTCACCGGGATAGTGAAAGACAGTCTTCTCCCATACTCTACCTCCTCTTGGCCTCCACCATTGAAAAATATTTTTAAAGGGATATCTTCTTCTAAGCGTTCACCGGCTGTAAACTCCGGAGGAAAGTTTTGGCTGTTCGCCAACTTTGGACTGCAGTCCTGTTCCAGAACCTGTGTTGTGTCTGCATCCGTTGGACATATCTGACTAATCTGTATGCAGACTTTTGGTTCTTTGCCTCTCAGGCAGATGCACTACGACTTCAAAGGAAGCTCCTAATTAGTCGACTCTTAAGACATGCATTTTTGTTTTCCCTATAAAAGGGCCCCGGAATCCACATGGGGATCAAAGGGATCCAGCACTAATTTATTTCTACTGGTTTTGCAATAAATAAAGAAATGCACCATAACCTTGGCTGCCAATGTGACTGTTAAATTAAACATTAAAGTCATGAAGACAACGAAAATTTTACCGGCATATTGATCACGGTGTGGTTAGGGGTTAACATTTCATTTGCAATAAACACACGAATCACAGAAAGGTTTTGTGATTTATAGTTTAGATGTATTAATTGTAGTCACTCTATTCCCCCAATATACCCTAATCATCGCCTTGTGAATGAAATTTTTTCGTTATTTGAAACCCCATCCTGGCTTTGCCGGAGGCCCTAAATATAGCTGGGCCACATTAGTGGCTATGGTGGCTGAAAGGGGTTTCTGGGACCTCTCCACATGGAGGGACTGTGTCTGCAGGTGTTTATCACTTGGGTGATGTTCTCGTAGGGTACAACAAGCAAGCAAGTACTTCCCTAATCAAAATAATCCCTGTCCACATGTGGGATGCATTTTTCATTATTTTGAAGCCCGACCCTGTTTGTTCGTTAGATCGTTCGTTAGAAGAAAACAAAAAAGATAAGCTTTGTCCTTTTTTAACCGCCTGATGGCCTGCATCATGTCAGCAGCGTGTGATGCTTAGTGGGGTAGCGGTCTTTTCTAAACATAGGGTGATCCTTTCCCAATCTGAATGGTGGCACTTTCCCACACTAAACATGTCAGCTCAGCTACTTTATCCACTCAGTGTGACTTCCCCACACTAGTGGGGCTCAAACTTTCCCTAACTCAGCTCCAGTTTCCCACACTAAACATAAACAACTCAGCTACTTTCCCAAACAAAGACAGCTCAGCTACTTTCCCACACTAAACATAAACAGCTCAGCTACTTTCACACACTAAACATAAACAGCTCAGCTACTTTCCCACACTAAACATAAACAGCTCAGCTACTTTCCCACACTAAACATAAACAGCTCAGCTACTTTCCCACACTAAACATCTCAGCTACTTTCCCTCACTAAACATAAACAGCTCAGCTGCTTCCCCACACTAAACATAAACAGCTCAGCTACTTTCCCCACTAAACATAAACAGCTTAATTCCAGGCCCGCAATGAACAAGCAAAGCAATTTACCTCCACTAACCTATAATGTATATTCCAAGTTATGTCTATTCATTAATGTATAATTACTCCTGAAACTGTTTTACTTTTGTATTCTCTCCCCATTTGCATTATGTGCCTCCAAGGTATGTCATGTTGTACAACTTAAGCTTCCACTGTTCTTTTGTTTCGTTAATCAACTGGCAATATAATATGTATCTGTTTAGTTTACGTCTTTTTTTGTGGCTGTGTGATTAACATTCTCAGGGTTTATCAGAGTTGAGGCCATGTTCACCTCAGGGAAATTTTTTTTTGGTATGACCATTCAAGTCTGACATGTAAAGATATCTGTCAGTGATGTCCTACGGATAACAACAATTAATAAGAATACTTGACTTATATAACATAAAGTGATAAATAAATTTCAGTTGCAACTTATATGATTATTAATAATTATATCAATAACTTATAGTTTAAATGAATAATTAAGCTATGCTGTGAGGTCAGTCTTCTTCTTCACTTTCACCAGCTGTAAATCGTGGAAGAAATTTCTGGTTGTTTTTCCACCTCTGGACATAGTCTTGTTCCAGAACCTGAGTGATGTGTGCCTTATTTGTATGCAGGTTATTGGTTCTTTGTTTCTTAGGGAGATGAACTCTGACTTTGAAAAGAACTCCTAATTATCACCTCTTGTTAGGGAGACAGTAGGTCTGTTCATTTTTTTTTTAAAACCCACAGTTGGTTCCCACATCCCACATGGGGATCTGATGTTAATGGTGATTACTTAAACTACGCTCTAAGATTCAAAATAATTCCAACTATATCTTCAACTTGTCACTGATTCCATAAGCCAGTACTAATCTTCCCCCCGTGTGGGTTCTGGGGAAAACAAGAATAGACCCACTGCCTCCCCAAAAGCGTAAGAGTCGACTAATTGGGGAGCTTTCTTTGAAGTTAGGATGTATCTGCCGGAGAGGCAAGGAACCAACAGTCTGTATTCAAGAGAATGAGATCTGTAAAACTGATGCACACGCAACACTCAGGTTCTGGAGCAGGACTGCAGCTCAGTAGTGGACGAGCAACCAGAACTTTCTGCCAGAGTGTACAGCTGGTGAACGCGAAGAAGAAGAAGATAACTAATCTTTACCCACAAAAGACTGCAGATTACATCAAGCTTGTTTAGCCTTACGGATGCCTCAGTTATAACTTCTTGAGGTTGAACAGAGCATCTGGGAGTTAGCTTGTTGGTCTGTCAATTAGATTAAGATTTTGTGATCTCAGGGGGTCAAACCTTCAGGTAGCAGTATTTCATTTTTAAAATTAGTTCCATGCTGTCCATTAGTAATCCTGCCTGACACATTGTGTGAATATGTCCATTAGTAATCCTGCCTGACACATTGTGTGAATATGTCCATTAGTAATCCTGCCTGACACATTGTGTGAATATGTCCATTAGTAATCCTGCCTGACACATTGTGTGAATATGGGAGATGACAATAGCAAAGTCAGCAAGTAAAAAACCCTGTGTACAGAGAGTTGATTTTTTTTTCTAGGAATGTGACCTATTTCAACCACTTCACATTATTTGTATAAAATTGGAAAGTTGACTTTTCAATAAGCAAAGGAAAATATGGCCAATTACAGCTACCTCATAAAACATTGTACTGTTGAAACTGGTTTCAGTTCCTGTCAAGATGGCGCCTACTTAGGGATTGGTTTCCTTTTAATTCATACAAAATTGAAGAGCCAAGTTATCTGTTCATTCAGTGTGTTCACATGTAGTTCAATGTGTGAGTTTACATGCCAATAAGAGTTACTGCAGTTGAGATGATGCCATGAACTACTACATACAACACAAACTGAGACTAGAAAGTTCTAGAGAGGGAACAGAAAATATGGGCACAAATACAATAAAATATTTTCAGTAAAGTCTTTATTAGTG